AAAAGCATTACTTTACATGTAGCATCCAGGTATTTCCCTTATTTAATCTTATCTTACCCAGACATTACAAAATTTAGTCTTGTCATAGATTCCAGTCTTAATCAGATCTCCCAAAATCAGACTATTCTAACATTAGATCCTATTACTTTTGAAGTACCTTCAAATTACTCTAGTTCCCCAAATAGTCACTAAAGTAGGGATATTAATCATTCTTGTAATATTATAAGTAACAATAGTCATAGTTTATATAAGATAGATCAAAGGGAGACTCTTCATGCTCCTAACCTTGTCTTCACACCTTTGGCTCAGAATGTAGCAGTTACTTTTAGGGGTAGAGATAGCTCTAGTGCCTTAAAAGATGCTCTTCTAAATATTTTTAACATTAGCTTCTGCTTATCCTTCAGATTAGGGTTAACAACATCCCTAAAGGTTATTTTAGAATTTCAGGGTGTTTTTTTTCTGCTGAAAAGTTCAGTGCCAGCCCTCAAAATAGATTACCCTAGAATATTCAAAATAGATTATCCTAGAATACTCAAGGACAAAAGGTCCATCCTCAAGGTCTGAAGGTCCATACTTCAGAGCATCTTACTGGGATAGAGAAGAGATTGATAGACAGGTGGAATAATGCTAAAAATCAGGATTAACTGAATCATTGTCATCCCTGTATGCTGCCCTAGTCACATTATCTAAGAAAAGAGATGAGGGAAAAACTAGACTATGTATGGATTATAGGAAGTTAAACAAGATGATTAAAATTAACAATGAACCTATTCCCAGAATAGATGAGCTGTTGGATAGACTTATAGGTGCAAAAATATATTTTCTACTGTACACAGTCTGTCAGTCTATTGGCAGGTTCCTGTTCATTCTTAAGACAAAGAACTAACTGCATTTGTAACAAATTCTGGTCACTTCCAGTGGAATTGTTTATCATTTGGCCTAAAGATGTCACCCCAAATTTCTCAGAGTTCTCAAATATCAAATATAGATTTCCTTTTCTCATCAACTATTTTGATGACTTGTTAATTTTTAGATAAAATATGGATGAACACCTAAAACATTTAACACACGTGTTTGAATTATGTTCAAAGAAAGGTTACTTAAATCTTAAAAAATGTCAATTTGTTAGATCTGAGATTAATTACCTGGGTTCAACATCAAACCAGAAAGTTATTCCCCCTCATTATCAAATATAGAAACTATACAAAAGTTAAAATGTCCAACTAATATCAAACAATTATATGGACCCTAAAAATCCTGTATCATTACTATCAATTTATTCCAAATTATGCAAATTTAAGAGTCCCTCTAAATAAGCTTCTAAAGAAGTATCAAAATTGGGCTTGGACACCTAAATATCAAGAATCTTTTGAGGAATTAAAATGAGCACTTACCACACCAGCCCATCTTAAACACGTACAGTGGTGCCTCATATAATGTACTTAATCTGTTCCAGGTGCACGTCCGTTAAGTGAAAAGTCCGTTATACGAAACACATTTTCCCATAGAAATACATGTTAAAACATATAATTCATTCCACAGCATAAAATAACCATACTGTACTATAAAAAAAATGAAAATGGAGCAGACACCAATTATGCCGGGTAGTCAGATGTTGTGAGGGGGAGGTGGAAGAACACTTTCTTTACACATTCATACAGATACAGACTTTTTACACATTGCAGCGGGTCTTTTTTTTATTGTTTTTTAATTGGAGTCAGATTCAGGAGAGGCTACTGGAACTTGCAGGGTCAACTTCTCTTGTTCCATCCTTTGTTTTTTGCCCGCTGGCTTCTTGAAAAACATGTCCAAGATGGTCTGTTTTTCTCTCTTCTTCAACACCTGTCGGAAATGACGGGCAAGGATGTCGTCGTAGAGATCATTGACCCTGTTGGCCTCAGATCTGTTTGGATAATGAGCATTGGTAAACTCCTGAACCTCTCCCCATTTGACAAGGAAGTTCGTGTCAACTTTCACTCCTCCTGATGATTTCTTGCTTTGTTTCAATTGAAATCACCTTTGTTTTTTAGAAACCATGATTTGCACAACACTTGAATAAATATAAATACCCTGCACTGAGGTGATGTACATAATAAACAAGGGAGCAAGCCAAATCCCAACGGGAACTCTGTACTTCAGATATACTAATAATATATTCTAATAATACTAATATATTATAAAAATAGCAGATTGTCATTGGCAATGGCAAAAGAGTGGAAACATCATTCGCACTTGTTCGTCTCACATAACTGCCAAACAGAAAGTCCATGGTTCGCAGCCAGTCCGTTGCTCGAATCACGTAATAACCAGACAGACAGTCCATTATTCGCAGCGTCCGTTATATGAGGAACCACTGTATAACCCTTTGCTTCCTACACATCTTTATACAGATGCTAGTGGAGACAGTATAGGGAGTATCTTGAAACAGGAACACTATTAGAGGATTACTTCCTATTGCATATTTCTCCAGGTCCTTATGTGAATATGAAAAAAGATACATTATTAGTGAAAAAGAATACCTTGCTATTGTAGCATCTATTGAAAAATTTTATTTTTATCTTCATATCTATTTCACCATACACACTGATCATCAAGCTTTAAAGCAGTTGAGAAGTATAAAAAGTCATCTGGAAGATTATTTAGATGGTCTTTGAAACTGAGCATGTATCAGGATGACATACATCAGAAGGGAAGCCAGAATACAGAAGCTCATTATTTTTTATCTAGGAGCCTCTGTGAGCTGCCAGTGAGGAAAGAATTCCTCAGTGATAGCTCACAGAGGCTCAGTGGTACTCATCTCACCCAAGTTCTTCCGAGATCGTAATCTGTATCAGAAAGAAGAAATTTACAAAGAAACTCATACCTCCATCACTTCAGTACAAGGTGCTATCAAGGGCATATACACATTATGGTCATCCAGGTATAACACAGATGCTGAAACTAATCAGTCCACATTACTATTGGCCAAATATCAAAGATGTTGTAGAGTTTGTTAAATATTATGATGTTTGTCAGAAAGCAGACACATACAATCATAAAAAGTTTGGCTGTTAGATGACTTACCTCTATCAAAAGCTCCATTTGACATGTTGTCAATGGATACTGTCTCTGGAATGCAAAGATACAGATCTACTAAAGGCTGCATTCATGTTGCCATCAATCACTTTTCTAGGTTCACTTGGTATTTTCCATCCAAATCCACTTCTATAAACACCTACATAGATTGTCCAGGCAAATTATTACAAACAGGCAGCCCAAAACGTTTACTAACAGATAGAGCACCTTCATTTACTTCCTCTAGATTCAGAAGATATTTAGAACGGAATGGAATCAAACAACATCTAACAAGTACTCAGACCTCAGCACAATGGGATAGTTGAGAGACTAAATGCCACACTTGTCCCCAGGCTAAGAATAAAATATTCAGAAAATCCAAAACAATCCTGGACTCAAATGCTATGTGAAGTCATGAAACAATACAATCAAACACCACATACTATAACAGGATTCCTTCAAATGTTTTCGATGTATGGAGAAATCTCCGATACACCTGACAACTTAAATTATTTTTCTCTAAGCAAAGCATGGAAGAAATAGCTCATGAAAGAAACAGATAAGTATAATAGTCAACACCAAACTCCAAACTTTAAAGTAGGAGATCAAATACTACTACAAACCTTTTTCTACTCCAACCAAGGAAAACTTGCTCCCAAGTATCATGGACAATTCACCATATTAAAAGATAATATCTCCTTGTAATGTAGAAATAGACAGGCCTGTTCAATCATTAAATAAATTAACTGATATTATATATATAAATCACACCATATTATAATCCAATCAACTTTAGAGTTCAAGCTAATAAATTGTGTAATAAATACCCAGTCAAACCTTCCTGAGGCTCCATGATGTTTTTTCAGGAGGGGCAATTTAATATTTTAAAATTTTTGTAAATTTTGTGTAATTTGCTTTGGTAATCTCATTCCTTTTGGAATGGAAAGGAAGGAAACCTCATTCCTTTTTAGTTTTGCCAACCTCATTCCAAAAGGAATGAGGTTGGCAACACTAAAAAGAATAAAGCTAGACTGAGGACCTGAAAGTGAACGAACATGTTGTTTTATTGTCTTAAATTTTCTTTTGTCTTGTTCCCCTTAAACTCAACCCATGACTAAAACTGCAAATAATACAACAATACAATAATATTTATACAGTCAAACTATCACTAAACTTAAAGCCAGTGAAAGTTTTATGAGCAACTATTAATAAACTGATCAATTTCTCCAATAGTTACTGCAAACAGTTTGCTTGATTCATATGATTGCAATTTGTATATTTTTTCACCACCTTTATGAAGAGAAAAGGTCGTGAAATCTCCTATACATAAAGTCGTGTCCCAAAAACACTTCAAAATGTATCTGTTTGAAAGTTCAATAGTAAAATTGTGTGTTTGTTTCCCTTGTCTTCCAATGCCCCTAACACCCAATTTCCTTTAAAGAGTGTGCTTGATCCACTACAGCCTAAAAGGCAAATCCATTTTGGAGATCATTGCTCTGAAATATTGCTATCAAATATAATAGAATTTCTCTAAATACATTTTTACCTATCAAAATCGTTTTTTCACATTTGTGTCTAATAAAAGAGCTTTAAATATAAGAAATTTATGTTTAGAACTACTTAATGAAAATCTAACATATTCCAAATGTTGAAAAAAATTAAAATAATTTAAGTGCTCTCTATAAGATATCAAACCATGCTTTTGGAAAATGGTTTTAAAACCACAATCAACTATACTAAAGCAATACATAATGTTCATTTATAAAAAGAAAAATGAATTTTAGTAAGAATATAAAATAATGTTATTTTTTATAATTTTTTAAAATTTGTTGAACTGAGTGTCTCAATTCAACAAATTTTTGTAGTTAGTTTAAATTTCTTCATAAAAATATTTTTATTGCAAGTAAACATTTTTACAAGTTAGAGATTTACATTGAATTACTTACCTTGTACTTTCTTTTTGTATTCTTCTGGTTTATGTAAATACATAGCTGCAGCATCACCATTCAACGGATCAATTGGATTAGGATATGTTAAAAGTTGTGGTAAGAAAGATTCAAATATATTGGATAAATCTAATTAGAAAAAATGATTGAATTACACTTTTATCTAAGACAAAAAAAAACTAAGTCTACAATTTACAAAATTAAGAACTATTTTTAGCAAGTTTTGATCACACACAGATTTGTGAAATTAAATCTGGTCAAAGTATCCAGATTGAATTTATTTTAAAAATGCTTACAGATTTGTAACATATTTTTGAAGTAGTCCTCTTCCTGAAGAAGTCATACACTTAGTCCAACTATTTCCAGTGCTTGAAACATACTTTAAAATAATACAAAACAGAATGGCTGCCTTGTCACATTCCATTGCACAGTAGTTTTTCAACATCCTGGAATAGCTTTCCTTTCAAAAAGTTTTTGATTTTTGGGAAAAAGGAAAGTCACAGGGAACAAGATCTGACAAACAGGATAGCTGTCAGTCTTATGGAATGTGATACTTCATGAGAAACTGCTTCACAAACTGATGCAAGGGCAAGTGTATTACTGTGGAAAAGTCACTACTTGACATTGCATCAGAATGGCTTTTGCAATAAACTGCATCTCTCAAATGCCAGAAAACTTGAATATAATTATACAATCTTTCTAAAAGTCTAAGTCCTTATACACTTCATGTTTTTGACAAAATCTGATGCAAATTTATTGATTATTTCCTTCCAACATTGCAAATGCAACATATATAACAAGGCTTTGTTCTTACCACATGTAAGAACAAAGCCTTGTTATAAACAAACAATACGAGCAAGGGACATGTGACTCATGACACATGCATTGTTGATTCCAAAGTTAAGCCCACATGTCTAAATATTCAAAACTTAAAAATTGAAGCAATTTCTTTACCAATCAGATATCTAGATATAAATCCAACTGAAAATTTATAGGGGATAATTAGTTCAATAGTTTAAATAAAATCTGTCAACTTAATGTTAGAGAGCTTAAATTAGAGATAATGAATGCATGGAAAGCAATTACAAAAACAGTTAAGTTTAGACTATTCAATACAAGAGTGACTATGCAACATTTTTAGATAAAAAGGTAAATTTCATTAAGCTGTAATGTTGATTAAATACATTTGTGATATTTTGTACAATACATTTGTAACAGCTATCGTTGAAAATAAATGCCATGACTTAAATTTCCATAAAATTTTTGAGTAGTAAAAAGGCATTTAATGTTATTCCTTGCTAGCAACATTTATTGAAAAATTTTCAATTAGACATTTTACAAATTAGGAAAACAGACTTCATAGTTTTGAAAACACCTTATTTCCAAACAGGTATTATGAAAACAAATGAAGTGAAACTATAATAACTCTTGATATATGCTTTCAGTTAATATGGATCTGCTCTGAGGAAAGTTCAACATTACCAACTTGACAGCTCTCAAAGCTAACAATGCTGAACCAATCCCTTTGTGTGTTCAACTGCTAGTAAGAAAATGAACTTTACTTTTTCTAGTTCCATACTTTTATTTGGATAATTTAATTAATTTTCATATTTAGTGTAATTTCAGCAAACATTTATGTTTTATTCCATATCTTTTCTGGGAAACTACAGTAAGAAAAATAAGGCAGCAACTATAAGCAAAATATTTTGCTTGATTTTTGAAATTTTTACTTCCTGCTTTTTCTTTTGGGCTGCTTTAGTGGTCAGTCTAACCACTCTAATCCTTAATGTTATTTTCTGCAATTTTTTTTATTTTTGTATGCAGCTACATAATACAGGTATACCTCGCCTTACGTCGGTAATTGGTTCCAGGAGAATGACGTAAGTCGAATTTACTTGTCTCCAAATCTACTTATCACTAGGCTAAACCATAAATGACCATTCCGGGTTCTGTATTTTATTTATTAATGCATTTTTAATAATATATGGTTAATAAGGATCTATTTTAAGCTTATAAACAAGTAAATTTGAGTTTTTAATATAGTACGGAAAAAAAGTAATCTAAATTTACGAATGCATGTACTGTAAATACAGTACATACTTGTATATATTTTAATACGATTTTATGTGCTTTAAACGTTTTTCTAGTGATATTACGACTTCAATATTTGTGGTGGACGGATGTAAAGTCGAATAAAATGAAAAACTTGATTTTTATTTTTCCACATACTTTTTTGACAAACGACGTATAATCGGGAACAACGTAACTCGAAACGACGTAAGTCGAGGTATGCCTGTACTCAAAGCTTTAATAATTCTTCAATAATTTTTTAAAACTTAATTTCTTCATTTTCCATGTTTTTACTCCAACAAATATAAATGTAAAAATTACAATTTCAGATGAATTCCAAATTACCTAATTCATGAATTAATTTTGTATGTGTAGTTTTGTTATATGCTGGATATCTGTAGAATCAATTAACTGTGTATATCAAAGGTTACCTGTAATCAAAATTTTTAATATATAATCCAAATTACAATTAATTTTAATAGAAAATAATTTTGAACTTCACATGATGAATCATTATAAATTCAGAAAATATTTACAAGTAAAGAAAAATAAAACCAGAGCCAATATCTTCATTTATACAGAGATCCTTGATAAACGACTTCCAACAACTTAACACTGTGTTGAATAATAACAATCCACGAAAAACCTTTTTACGAGTGTTATGTCACTAGTAAATTCCACAAGTACTTTCGACCTCCACCGAGGTCTGCTTCAGGTGGTGACTGGCCGTGTTCCGACCCGACCGTCGTAACGATGTTGCCAACGATGTAAATAAATAAATGCGCACATCGGGTTTCATCCCTCAGACAAGCGTTCCGCGCGGATCACATCCGTCACCTGGAGGCCTGGGAGATTTATAAAGCTACCAGGGGGGGCAACTGCATCAACTACAAGGATGGGGAAACGCTTGCACAGGCGTGGAAGTATTTGTTCGAGAAATTCGAACAGTGTCAGTCAGAGGGGTGAAACCTGACGCGTGCATTTATTTATTTACATCGTTGGCAACATCGTTATGACGGTCGGGTCGAAACACGGCCAGTCACCACCTGAAGCAGACCTCAGTGGAGGTCGAAAGTACTTGTGGAATTTACTAGTGACATAACACTCGTAAAAAGGTTTTTCGTGGATTGTTAGAGATCCTTGAATTAAGAGAGTAAGAAGATTGACAAAGGGAAAGAATAATGCATTGTTACATCCTGTAAATTGAAACTAATGCATAAATTTCAATGTACTAAATGCCAGTAACAGTTTTATATTTGGCTGATATTTCATTTATAAAAGTGACCTTTAAAACTGATTCATAAGTCCCATGAATTCAAATATGTGACAATTAGAACTAATAGTGTATTCTCTACATAAATTATTAGGTTTATCTAATGATAACTCACTAATCAAGAAACTTCAGAACAATATATATACATATGATATTTATCACACAAATACATTATATATATAATAAAAATGATAGTTATATTTACCATATAGTGCTGTCCAAGCTTGATTGATTACATCCAAGCAAACTGTTCCAGATCTGTAATATAGCAGTTTACATTTTATATGTAAAAATTCTTATAACATTAGAATTAAACTTAGTTATATTTTGTATTTTTTTAACATTCCAAACATTAACATTTAAAATAGCCAGTACCAGAAATTTTTTTGGAATCTTATGATCTAATTACTGTGCTATGATTAAAAAACTTAGATCAGCTACTACTATCAGGACAACTGGCAAGATATATTTAACTCAACTAAAAATGTACATTATTTTAGTGTTATACTCAATTTTTTTATTTTAAATTTTTGAATATCTTCCAGTTTTGTTTGAATACATTTAAAGAATGCATTCTGAAAGCATCTTAATAAAATAAACAATTTTATGTTTAAAATCAATAAAGTTTTCCTATTCAGTCAATTTAATAAAGTTTCACTTTAACTAAGTCAAAGATTTTAAGTAACTACTTTAAATATTTTACAATTAAGAAATTTTATTTCAACTCATTATGCTCCTTAGAAATTTATGAAATCTTTAAAATTTTATATATATATATATATATATACACACACACACACTAAATTTAAACAAATCAATCAATTAATTCAAAAATAAAATATTCACTTACACTTCATCAATATTTGGATGATAGATTTTATTCATGAAACCTGTAAGAAGAAGAAAAAAAACATTAAATTAACATCAAATATTGACTGCTTTTTTCATGTTCAAAGATTATATCTGATAAATCATATTAAAAACATAAGATTAAATGAATGAAACTCCTAAATTCAAATCTTTAAAAAGCAAAAGTAATAAAAATTTAAAAAAGAATTATGTATAAACTCACATCTTTCTTCAATAACAAAATTTTCAGAATTTTCATAAACATTATTAAGATAATTTAGTGTGAATTTATAATAATAAATTTTCAAAGAAAAATTTTGAAAGTTTTAAATAGATACTCTTTTATAAAAAATACTGAAAATTTAAGTTAATTTGATTACAAGCAATTATTTATTGTGAGATCATCACAATGCCAGGCTGCAATTTTAATCATATTTTTAATAATTTTTTAATTTAAATATATGCCCTCCATCTCAAATTAGTAGTGGCTTGCCCCTATACATCATACTTTTCTGTTAGCAATATAGTTGTGCCAGTCATCTAACTCCTTTCAGGGGAAAATTTTTTAATCTAATTAATGCAACTTCAGATTTGAACCATAAGTTCATATATACTTAATAGGGGCCTCATACCCCCTAATCTTTTCATATCTGATCTCTGCTTTCATCTAACTCTGTTCTTGAAATTAAGACAAGACAGACAGTGGGAATTTATAGGTCCAATTTTTTCAAATTGCAACCAAAAATCTTTTGTAATGTTTTTATTAGAGAATTTTTGAAAGTATTTGAAAATTGTTTCACACTTAGATTATATTAAAATAGTGTACAAATTCATATAACTGCATTATTCCAATACCAGAAGTCAACAATCATTCTAGTTTTCAAAAATTTATAAATATGCAGCCCATATAGAAAATGATGTCAAATCCAAACACCTTTACAAATTATAAACTTTTCCTTTTTTTGTTATTCCAGTTTTCAAATAGTAATGTCAATAATTCAATTCTAAATCCTCCAAAACTATTATTACTTAATAATAAAATTGTTTTAATGATTTTATTTTTTATTTACTTTTTCAAATTTTGGAGAGATTTTAAAAGATTTTTGACAGGACAAGCAATATTCTGGTCAAAATTCACCATCACTCTAAAGGATCCTTCAGGATTCCCAATATCTTGGTTTTTTCATAAGTAATTCTATAGTTGTACATTGGAATTAAATACATGGTTAAAATGCTTTAAAAAAAACTTGAATGCATATTCAATTTTTGAAGTAAATCCTAAGATATAAAAGGAAACAAATGGCAACAAGAAGAAAACAAGTAAAAATGACTTTCTAGAGTTTAAAAACATTAATTTTTGTATTAATATACAGTAGAGCGTTGTTTACCCAAATCAATTGTGGACTGGGGTTGTTTGGATAACCAATTAGGTATGAAAAAATTTATTAATCTATCCTATGTTGAAATTTTTTTCCATTGTGTGTCACTTCATGTTGAATTTTCGTCTATGTTAAGCCTAATTTAAATTTTTTGAAATAATAATCATGGCTATTGTATCATTAAAAATTTCTTTATATTGTACAAAACAAAATAAATACAGTGGTACCTCAGGATATCTTTACGTTAATAAAAGACCGAGGCTGGTGCTCATGAGACTCCCATTTCATCTCCTTTCCTATTTCTCTTTCACATTTTCCCCTTCATCCCTTCTCTACATACTTTTCTATCTCCCTTTTTCACCCCAGGCAATACCACTGAGTCGTCATGGTTTTCATCCCGTCATATAGAGGGTACCCTCAGGATATGAAATTAATCCATTCCGAAACAGATCTTATGAAAATGTCGTAAGGTGAATCATTTTTCCCCCTACGATTACATGTAAAACCAAATAATTCATTCCAATTTGAAAAAACTCTCAAAGTAAAGTTAAGTAGTACATTAAAAAAAATAACTATAGTAAGGAAAACATTGATTGCACTGATTGTATGATATTTGGGAATTCCTCATTATTTCAACTATGCACCCATGCAATACATATACACAAGCTAGGAAGCTCAAGTGTGGATCACTTTTTAATCCAAGCCATCCTAACTGACTCACATGATCATGTATCATAGGCTCCTTCTGTATCCCTCGAGACAAGCAACAGTGACGATCAGGACATTTGTATCTTCACCGACGGATCCAAAACAGACCAAGATGTTGGGAGTGCCTTTGTGGCTTACAAAGGCAAAGTCTGTCTTTATCAAATGTACAGGAAGTTGGCTCCGCATTGCACCATTAATCAAGCGGAGTCTTTGGCCATCAGTAATGCCATCGATTGGATCTCTAACACGAATCATAACCGGACTAACCACAACTTCAGAATCTATACCGACAGTCGCATTGCGCTTCAACAGATCGCCAAAATAAACACCACTCTACCCATTGTGAAGAAATGTCTTGGCAATCTTCAAGCCCTGAAGAAAGGAAACATCAACGTCTACTTTCACTGGATTAAAGGTCATTCAGGGAGTGCGGGGAATGATAGGGCTGATCTTCTCGCTCGTTGTGCATCCGCAAAATCTAATAGCTGCACCTACAACAAGATAAGTAGTAAGCATTTGAACAATCTCATCCACAACATCATTCTAAAGACTTGGCAAGTCAGGTGGGACAACGGTTCTACTGGGAGGCTTACCCACTGCTTCCTTCCTTGCCCCACTGACAGCATGCTTCATCCAAGATATCCCACATTTCAGTTGACACAGCTCCTAACTGGTCACGGAAACCTGAACACGTACCTAAAAAGGTTTCTCAATAAAACGGACGGGCTCTGTGACTGCGATTTGAAGGAGGAGGAAGATCCTGAGCACATAATCTTCTTCTGCCCACACTACTCTACGCAACGCAAGGAGTTAATTCGTACCATCAAGGACAACGGCTTCCACTGGCCCTGTATGCTTAAGGACTTGATTTCTGACAAGAAAAACTTTTCAGCGATAAAAAGATTTGCTACAGGTATCAGGAAGCTCGACTAGTCCCACTCTGCAATCTATGATCACCCTCAACTGACCATCTAGAAGTTCATCGTCTCCTCTCTCTGTATGTGTCAACTGTGTAATCTAGAGTATATTGTTTTAATGGTTCATTCTGTAATAAATTGGATAAGCTGTTCTATATGTTCCG